TTTAACTTTTTTATGTACAATGTTGAACTGCAATAATCTTGACGCTGCACAGTGGACCAGAATTCACTTTTACTAGACAAAATTCATAACTAATTTAATATTAGGGTTATAATCACTAAAATTAGCATGAGTACTAATATGATGTCTGCGCTTATTATGATGTAATATTTTTTTATTTTGTGGCTATGGATACCTTTATTTTGCCTAGCAACAACCTATTTTTGGTATTTGCAGATATTTCATGCTATATTCACTAAATTTGGGCTGAGTACCAATATTAAATCACACTTTTTATAAAAGTGATAATTTTTTTTATTTAGTCGCTATGGATACTTAATTTGCTTAGTAACCAGATACTTTCCTTAGTTACAAAGGGATAAATAGATTTTTTAATGAACTTTATCTGATTTTCAACCCACCTATATAGAATAACAATTAAGTATGTACGTAAATATTGTTTTAGCAATAATAAAGACAAAAAATAGTGCAAGAAAACATTGTCAATTTTAAATTACATCAAAAACTTATAAAACAATATTATTGTTTGAATATTGTTTAAGTAATTCTAAAACATCTGAAGGAAATGTTTTATGATTTGTTAAATGTGATGTTGATTTACGCAGTGATAAAATAACAGGATCACTGAAAACGAAAGAGTGAAAATACTTAGTCAGTATTTTCACTGGAAAGAGTCAGTATTTTTATGATGAGATTTAAAGTCTTTAAAGCCTCTTAAACTTCCTCTGATATAAATCCGATGGTTAATGTAAGGCTTTTAATTATGCCATACCCATGTATGTGCACTTTGTGCACAGATTAAGCCATACTATGGATATACTTTGTGCACAGATTAAGTACAGATTAGGCCATACTATGGATAAAGGGACACAAACAGTCTAACAGTGTCAAAACAATATTTGTTGAATTTTAAAAATATAGAGTTACCAAGATAATATAAGGCTTTGATCAATACCCAGAAATTCAGCTCTTTCTTCATATGCTGCAAAAACACGCCTTGAAGTATTGTTATTGTTACTTGTTCCAGAACCACAATATATTTTATTAAGTAACTGCGGTTGCTTTTAAAACCAGGAAATTGTTTATGACATTTTAATACTTGAAAAATGCAATACGTAGTTTTTAAGCACTTTAAAATACATGTAAAACCGTGTCAAAACATTTATCAATTCAAATTCAATAACTTTTTAATTATATTTATTTTTATATTTTTTCATTAGATAGATGTTAAAAAAAATACTAAAGAATATATAAATAAATATTAAAAAAAAAATTGTAAACTATTAAAATAATAAAGGTAAAAAAAAAAGTTTGCGGTTTAAGACAACATTTTAATAAAACCGCATACTCAAGAACATTAAAATTACTTTTATATACATTTTTTTAATAAATTTTTTTTTAATTTTCAATTTTTTCTTTACCATATTTTTTTTAAAAAACATATTTTAAATTTAAAAAACTATATTAATTTTTTACATTTTTGTTACAAAAAAAAAATCAATTTCACACAAAAGAGTTTGAATACTAAATTTAATAATATTTATTTAAGAACAATAAAATGTATTAAAAAATATTTATTACAAGAAAAAACTTAAGTATTAAATTTCATAAATTTAAACTAAATTAAAAAATTCCAAAATTTTTGTAGAAAAACATCAACATTTGCAAACACTCAGTTAAAATTATATTTTGCTTTGCATTCAAAGTGTTTAATGCGTCAGAGAAAAGGCGTTCACTTGGTGCACTGGTTGCAGGCGTACATAAAATCATTGTTGAAATACAATACAATATTGAAAACACATGTTGATTTTGATGCCAAAAGTGTAAAAACATTTTGCTCATTTACTGATAACTTTATATAACCACTAATTTCTTTTTTTAAATCTAAACTTATTATTTTGTCACTATAATTTCCGGAATCATCATCTTCATCTTCAAATGATAACTTAAATTTTTTAGATTTGTCTCCTTTTTAACTGGAATTAGGCCGGGTGAATAAAAATGGGCAATTGCTTTTACTTAGTAATTGCTCAGCTTTACGCGAATAAAAACTTTAGTAGTTTTGCTCAAAATTTTACTCACGTAAAGTTAAGCAATTTACTCAGTAATTGCTCAGCTTTACATGAACAAAAAATTAAGCAAAATTGCTCAAGTTTTTATTCATGTTAAGCTGACCAATAACTTAGTAAAAGCAATTGCTCATTTTTATTTACCCGGCCTATTATATCACAAACTTTTTTTTTCCAACAAAAATTCTCTAACGCATTTAAAAAAAAAAAATTTTCTCGTATTTTTCAAAGAATTGAAAACTTTTATAATTTGGATCCAAAAAAGTGAAAAAACGAATGATTGTAATATACTGTAGCTTACAGGGCCGGCACGAGTAGGTAACATGTAGAGAGCGCCGTTAAATAAAATCCTTGTTTTTTTAAATTTGCCAAGTGACTGTTCTGAAAATCTACATTTGCCGACTTACTTTTCTAAAAGAGTCAAATTGGCTTACTAAATGAATGGCTTACTCATTGATGGGATGTCACACACAAACCAACCACCCCATCCCCTCACCCCTTTGCGCTGGCCTTAGTAGCTTATTCAATTCTAAAGATATTTGTGTTTTACCATGTTAACTTTTTGGATTTTTTTGAAATATTTATTAATATTTATGAAATATTAGGCAGTAAAATGACTGTGCATTAGCAAACTTATTCAAAAATTCTAATAGAAATGATATCATGAACCTAAATTGTTTATATTATATATTTATAAATTTCTTTAGTTGGACTAAAATAAAGTTGGGTATATTTAGTTAACTAAAAACAGAGTTGGTTAATTTTAGTTAACTAAAAAGTTAGTAAACTAATTTTAGTTAGACTAAAAAGTTAGTCGGGTAATTTTAGTTAACTAAAAGATTAGTCAGGTAATTTTAGTTAGCTAAAAAGTTAGTGGGGTAATTTTAGTTAACTAAAAAGTTAGTCGACTGATTTTTAGTTAACTAAAAAGTTAGTTGACTAATTTTAGTTTCTAATATGCATCAGTATTAGCTAATAGTTCATGCAACTAATAACAAGCTAATATTAATAGTTCATGCAACTAATAATAAGCATGCAACTAATAATAAGTTCATGCAACTAATAATAAGCTAATAATAATAGTTCATGCAACTAATAATAAGCTAATAGTTCATGCAATGCAACAGTATTAGCTAATAGCTAATAAATTTCTAATAGATCAGTATTAGCTTTGCAAAATTTTAAAATTTTAAAAAGTTAGTTGACTAATTTTAGTTAACTAAAAAATTAGTCGGCTAATTTTAGTTAACTAAAAAGTTAGTTGACTAATTTTAGTTACGGTTTTTTTAGTTTAGTTAGTAACAACTTTTAGTTTTGGTCACAACACTATTTATAACAGGGGAATAAATGCTAATCTTCTTTAGTAAAATGCATAATAAATTTAATTTGAAAAAAAAATCGTTTGATAATAAAATTGTGAAATGATTCAATTTAACTCTTTTTTATATAAATAGATTAGGAATAGAATAGAATTAAATCATTTAAATCAAAAGCAATCAAATAGAAAAGTTGTAAATAAAAACAAACTTCATAATAATTACCATTTTATTTTTTACATTGTAAAAATTATTAATTTTTGACTTTTGCTCCTGCTATAAAAGATATAGTAGGTCCAGCTTAAAAACTTAATCTACTTAGCTGATGCATATTAGAAACTAAACACAAATTGATCACCGATGCAAATTTTTATAAAAGTACATACTAGTATAAGACATATTCATGGATTATGAAATATTCAAATATAATCATGGTTTACACACAGTTCACATACAAATTCTGTCTTTACAAAATAAAATTCATAAAATAACTTACAATTATTTTATGAAGTTTACAAAAAGCATTGGAGAATTAAGCGCATTTCTTGCTGGACACTGTTTTTTTTAAATCTTATCAACTATCAATGGAGCGGGTGTCTACCATTTTATATATATATATATATATATATATATATATATATATATATATATATATATATATATATATATATATATATATATATATATATATATCAACCCTAGAAATTAGAAAAAATGAGATCGGCAATATAAAGCCGACCTTAAAGTGTCAGAGATCAGTATTAGCTTGGCAAAATTTTAAAATTTTACACATGGGGGTTAGCATAAAATATAGAAACAAGGTTGGCAATTTTTTTATGGGTTTATGTGTATATACATATATGTATATATATATATATATATATATATATATATATATATATATATATATATATATATATATATATATATATATATATGTATATATATGTATATATATGCAACCCTCGGAATTAGGAAAAATGAGGTCGGCAATAATTTGCAGACCTCAATCTTTTTGAGGTGGGTATCAGGTCAGCAAAAAAATTTTAATACAAAGGTCTGACCATAAAACATAGAAACGAAGTCAGCAATTTTTTCCTGACTGCATACTTCTAATCTCTAATCTTGATTCTCAATTGTGTAGGCTGTCAGATTGATTCATGCTCACTTAATGGTAAATGATAAAGTAAAAATATCATTTACATATTCAACGCCAAAAGTCCACAGGAATAGGGTTTCTACTATATTGTACTTAAAAATATTTAAAGATCAATTTGAAAAACATGAAAAACCCTTTCTTAAGAAAAGTAAAGCTAAGTCCCCCAATTTTTAAAATTTGTATGGGAAATTTAAAAAAAAGGTTTAAATCCTGTACTTTTGTAAAAAATTCAAGACCAGACTGAACCATAAACCATTAATTTAAACCTGGTGGTAAATCATTCAATCTACAAAATGAACTTGCATCTAAGTGTGGTATATATATTTATAGAGAGAGAGAAAGTATTTGAGGAGTTAAAAAAGGAACATAATAGCTTTTAGTAATGACAAAATATGATTGTTTCATTAAAAAATAATATTAAAACAATTTTTTACTCACTAAAAAGTAAAAATTTCTTTTTCTTTTCTTTGTTAGGATTTAAATTTCCAAGAAATTTGATTAAACTTTTTTCATTTTTATTAGACAATCCAAAAATCATCGGAAAACAATTCTTTAGCTTTTGGTTTTGCTTAATTTCTTCAATAGTTAAATTGTTGTATGCATGTATTGAGGCACAGAATTCCATTATTGCTAGGTGTACAAACTGATAATGACAACCTAGATTTGTTTCAATCTTTTCTATAAAACCAAACAATTTATCTTTAAGAATATCAAAGCCAGCAATTTCATTTGGAGAAAAAATAACTTTATTTTCAATATACAAAGAATACGCAATTTCACAAATACTTAAAATATATTTTTTATTTTGGGAACTTTTCATCATCTTATGAACTGGTTCATTGTTCTTGTTGATGTGTTTTTGTATAAAGTAATAAAAAACACTAGCAAGCAAATCAGTCTCAGTTAAGAACATATAATCCCGCTGAATTGTTTCAACAAGAATTTTACACATGCAAGACAAAAAAAAAGGAACAAATGCCATGGATTTTGCAACTGGAGATTCCTTCAAAACTGTTTTAACTTTTTCTTTTGATTCTGCAATTACATTATTTTCTATATAATCACTTATTCCGTCTTCATTAAATCCCATTACTTGAATGTTTAACATAGCATCACGCTCTCCAATAACATTTTTACATCGTAATATAACACTTGGTCTTCCAGCTATAACAGTTTTGTACTTCAGAATACCTAATAATGCATTAACGATAGGCGGGTTGATATTATTATCAGGATTTATCAAGTTATCTATATATTTAAACTCATCCAAGCCATCGATTACAAACGCTACAGAACAATTATTGATATCCAAACTATTTATAACATCTTTATAAAAGATATTAAGTAACTCATTTATACTTGAAACATGTTCATACTGATTTAACCTTCTGCATTCTAAATAAAAAACAAGTTCGATGTTTTTCCAAATTAAACCATTTGACCAATCAAGCAGACATTTTCTTAGCAACCACGTTTTACCAATTCCAGCATTACCTGATATAAGGAGTAAAAAAAATTCTTCAGAAAATACTTCATTAAAAGGGATTGGTGTTAAGTTCATTTGTTTCTTTAAAAATTGTTCTGGTTTGGAATAATAAACAGCATCTGCTTCGACTTCAACACCATTAACAATACATAACTCAACAAATTTGTTAACAACATCAACTCTTGAAGGTGGAAGAAGTGTGTTAACTATCTTATAAGTTGAACGATAAAACTTCTTTAGTTTAGAGCACATCACTGGTACATCTAAAAATAATTATCAATATATAAATCACTAATGAAATCAACATTAAAATTTCTTACAATTCTAAACATTCTTATTTCAAATTCATAAGATTGACCCCACCATTTCTACAAAATATATGATTTTTGAAAATCATTTAATAAATTTGTGCTTCAAAATGCATTAAAAAAATCTATTGCGTTTAAACATTTTTTGAAAAAATAAAAATTTAAACCAATAGGTCATGCAAAAACGGATAGCATTTAAACAAGCATTTTCATCTCTCTCTCTCTCTCTCTCTCTCTCTCTCTTTCTCTCTCTCTCTCTTGAGCTCATTTATTCTTATATATGTAAAGCATCACTAATTTATATCCTGCTGCCACAAAGTAGTGCAACTACATCAATTGAGCGTTTAGCATGGCGCAGCAATCTTTTCTGTAAAAGCAATTTTTAGCATAGAAATATAATTGTAATTAAATGTAAAAATTAAAAAATGTGGTTTATGAAAAAGGTGAATATAGATGCAGCTATTTTTATCCTGGGAATTTTATTTTGTATACTTATTATTTAAGACTTCTCTAAGAGACAACAAAGTTAACACACAAATAATAACAGTTACATTTTGTGTGATACTTTAAGATACTTTGTCAAAATGCATGCAAAAGAAGATTTAAAGTAAAACCAAAAATTAGTTGTTCAAAAAATTAGTTGTTCAAAAATTAGTTGCAGAAAACATTGAGCAGCAAACTAATTGCTTTTTATAGTATGACAAGTATTTCTCTTTATCTCACTAATTATGCATTTGGAGTCAATCAATAAATTTGCATAAAGAAGTTGTTTGCAGTAAACACACACAGTAGTAATTGATCAAACAGCTTTTTTGTTATACTTTTCCATTAAGTTATATTTTTTAAATGAAATTTCTTATATCACATTTGAGAGTAATTACTCAAAATTTTATTTAAAAAATGGAAATGATTGGTTCAAAAGTAAGTGAACAAACTAAATTCTAAAAATTCTAAAACTTTTTTGCTGAGTGCATTTTTATATAAAAATATCCCATAATAAATAGATCATAATAAGACATAATAAATATTTAATAGAGGCTGTGGAAAAGTTAATTATACAAGCATCTAATATTGGTAAGATTATGCAACAATTTAAATAGAATATTCCATGATTAATAGTTTGCTACCCATTAAAAGTTTTTTGTCAATGAAATCATTTCAAAGCATTGCCAAGTCAGGAACGCTGAAATCAACAATTTTTTGCCAAGATAATGTTATAGTGAGATTGTAAAAGGCAGATCTGCACAAGATATATCCAAATATATCCAAAGTTTAATATGTTTAATGCTGAAGGTATTTACTATGTTGAACATCTAGTAGGTTACTAAAATGATGTTAAGTACCTAGTTCCCACAGAGAAGCATGGTGGCAGCTCAGTAATGGTTTAGTCATGTGACCCTGATGTGGTAGGTCTATCAAGTTATCTATCAAGTTCAAGGCACGAAGGACAAAAACATGTTTAAAGGAATAATCAAATACATAATGCTGTCATATACAAAGAACATATATATATATATATATATATATATATATATATATATATATATATATATATATATATATACATTTACATGTTTTATAAAAATGATAACTCAAGATTTCACAGCTTCAATTTAAACAGGCAAACTTTTATTTCAAATAAAACTTGATACATATTAATTATAATATCAATATTATAAAAGTATTTACAACTCCTGGACTATTGATTAGTTGCTTAACATTAGCAATTAACCATAGGGCTATAAAAATTACCCATTGATTTTTCTACCATCTCAAAAATAATCATATATTATCAAATAGCAACAATAAAATCAAGGTTATTTCCAGTATTAAAATCAACAATGCTGCATTCTGCATTTATATCAGAACTAACAAAGAATTTACAAACTTCTTTGTTATAATCATTAAACATATTTTATCCTTTTTTTCCAAGTTTGTCATTAAATCTTTAGTTTTTATTTTTTTAACACTGGCAAACGTTAAGGTAGCAACAATCTGATGAGAATAAATCCTAATAAAATTGTTTTATTGCACATTATATAAACATTTTCTTCAGGATCGATATTAAGTTTCTTTACATTTTGTAATGTTGTCTGCATTTCGATCGCAGAAAGCTTTGTGAAAAGTTTGTCAAATCTATTTTTAGAACTGCAATGGTATCCTATTATACTCATTCATCTTATGAATTTAAAATACTTGGTCAACCACTTCTTGGTAATATATTAATAAAACTAATCATTTCAAATTTTTAACAACATTTTAAACAGTGAAATGTGTTTTACCAACAATTTTGGCAATTTGGCAAAGAGATTTTTTTTCTTTAGGCAATTCTTTTATTAATTTACGCATATCATTGGACATGTGATTTTTTTATCTAAACTCATGTTTATAACTAAATTTTTGGTGAAAAAATTATTAACTCAATATTATTAAGTATTAATTTTATTAGTGTACAAAAACTTTTGTGACATTAATGCTAAAATTAAACTTTTTCAATTTTACAAAGAAATATTTTTATTTAGTTAATTATTTTTTATTTCTTGTACAATATATTTTTGTTACTTTGATATAAAATTATTTTTTTGCATTAAAAATGGTCTTTATTAAGTGTTTTCTCTAAATTGTAAGGTGTACAAAAACTTTTGTGACTGAGTGTGTGTGTATATATATATATATATATATATATATATATATATATATATATATATATATATATATATATATATATACACTACCACAATGGTAGTGTATATATGAGCTAAACGCATGTATACTTATGAACAAATAAATATAATTATATAATAAAAAAAATTATACATAAAAGTATACTCATGCATTACATAGAAACATTCATATAGGGCCAATATATACCTGTTAACTTAAAATTATGCAAATGTATTTTACTAACAGAAAGCATTTTATATTTTCGCTTTCCTTATTAAAAAAAACAATTAAAATATAAGAAAAATCATTCTTAAATCAACTTAAAATTTTTTTTTTGTTTTGCCTTATCCAATTTTGTTGCTGAAAATAACAACCACTCTAAAGAAATAAAAATAAATACAGTACACAAATTATTTAAATTATAATTTTTTTTTTTTTTAATTTAACTTTATTTTAGTTTCCTATTTTGTTAGTTTTGCTTTCTTTGTTTACGAAACCTTTTTCAGCAATGTTTATAATAAAACTTGGAAGCTGTCGTGACCAACTTGTCTGAAATAAAATTCTCATGTGTTGACATACAAGGCGATAAACCGCAACCATTTCCTGGGAAAGCTTGCATGGTGTTCATCAAAATCAGTGGCAATATTTGTTGCTGTTTGTTAGCAATTTAACATAAAACTCATAACTATGTACTGATCTTGCCTAATTGTCCAGGTACCTGGTTGTAAAAACCGGGCCCAAGACTGGGTACTCGACACCGAGTCAATTAAAAAAAGTAAGAATAAAAATAATTTCTTTTATGATTTTTATTCGCATATAGCTAAACAATATGCTCCAAAAATGCTGAGTAATTGCTCAGCTTTACATAATTAAAATTTTGAGCAAAATTGCTAAAAATTGTATTCATGTGAAGCTGAGCAATTACTCTAAAAACGTTGAATAAAAGCAATTGTCTTTTTTTAATTCATCCAGTCTTATATATAAAAAAATGGGGTCAAAAGGTAATAATACAAAATCAGATTCTAGTGAGATTCAGTTGTCTGACCCTGGAATCATAAGTTTAAAATTAAGAACACCAGGTCTTCCTTCAATCCTAGATGGGCGTTATTTTGAAATAACCAATTTTGCTGATGAAAACAAAGCTAGATGTAAAAGCTTAAGGGGTAAACAGATTCTATCTGTTGACCAGCCTCGCACCCCTTCCTCATCTATTAGGCTGACGCAGATGTATTTTTAATACATTGTTTCCAGTTTAGGATGTTGAACGCTGGATCTTCTTGACTCAATGCGTGGGTATTGCTTGTGTCTCTATTTCTATGACTGGGCAACTCATTCTATTATCTCCTAATGAGGGTACAGCTCTAAAACTCAGTTTTATGGTTCTGAGGCCGGCTGGTAGTCAGGTTTCCCGAACTCTGTGGTAGCTCTCAGAGAGGCTGATTCCATCAACAGCCGAAAAATATCAGAGTACTAACAGTGCCATGTTGCGCATGGATGGTGTCCCTGTTTGTACTTTTGGTGTGCATTGCAGAGGTCACATTTGGAGCCCTTTGTTACGACTTAGGGTTTATTAATAGTAATGAGGCTATTGCTTAGTTGTTAAATAGTGTACTGAGTACTATCTATACTTGAGTCAAGTTCTTTATAAATTTAAAATGACTAAAGTACCTAAAACTAAAAAACACAAAAAACCATCGTCATCACCAAGTTCTCTAAACCTATCATTTACTAATATTCGTGGTCTTCGAAGTAACTTTTCTTCTGTTGAGTCTTATCTCTTGCAAAGTTCACCAGACCTACATGCTCTTTGTGAGACTAATTTGAGTTCGGCTGTCCCATCTTGTGATCTTAGTGTTGATGGTTATCTTCCTTTAATTCGTAAAGACTCCAATAATCACATGCTTGGCCTGGGCATCTACATTCGTAAGAACTCACCCATTTGTCGTGAAACTAGGTTTGAATCTACAGACTATTCATTTATGTGCTTTCGTTTAGCACAACTTCACTCTATCGCCTTTCTCTTTGTTCTATATCGCTCTCCTTCATCCCAAGATTGCACTATTCTTGATGTTATTTCTGATCAAATTGACCAAGCCCTCTCTCTTTATCCATCGGCCAATATCGTCGTTGTTGGTGACTTTAATGCCCATCACACCGATTGGCTTGGCTCTAGTGTCAGTGACTCTGCTGGCGTTAAGGCCCTCAACTTTTGCCTTTCTCAATCTCTAACTCAAATAGTCAACTTTCCAACTCGTTTTCCAGACAACCCTAATCATTTACCTTCTCTACTC